TAATTTCATTTTGTTAAATTATGTGTTTCATTAATTTATACCAAAGTTTTCAAATTTTATGTATAACAATTATTTCATTTTATATGTTATTGGACATGTTATTGAAAGGGATGATTTGTGAAAATTAACCAAAAATGAGCGGAGCCACAAGCTATTGGAAGTCGACCTTCAAGACTTATTGTTTGTATGCGATATTTAATTTATTGTTTATATTTATTTTTGTTTCTTAATTTTCCAATTGTTAATTCCAGTGGCAAAACAACCTTAAAATGAGGCAGTGGAGAAGGGCTTAGTTCCGATGCAAGATGTATAGATGGCCTTTTACGATGGTATGTTGTCGATAGTTTAGTTTTGATTATGTTAACTTAGTTATTAAATCTAATTACTTTTAAGCTCAACATGGAAGACATAATTGATGATTTTTTTCCTGGTTCAAATTTTCAATCTACTGGTATTAGCTGATTCAATTCATTTGGAAAATTATTCAACAGTAAAGTTATGTCCTTTTTTTTTGTGTGTAGTATACTTAATAATGTTCCAGTATAATAGAATTTTGATCATACGATACATCAAACGTTTGTTTATATTCTTACAACATCAAAAGAATGCAATTTGTTGTCCCGTGCATCGCACGGGTACAATTACTAGTTATACGTAAAAGTAAGAAAGCTAGGGTAACCTGAGTAACCCTAACGTTATATTTATTAAAAAAAATAAAATCCATTATTATTATATTTTTTTTTTCATCTCTTATTTTTCAGTTTTTTTTTTCTCCAACGACTTTCATAGCAACAATATTTGCAAATCAGCTAAGAAAATCCTGATCCACTCTGACAATTTTATTTTTTGTTCTTTTTTAAATTTTGCAATTTTTTTCTAAACAATTTATTTTGTGGTTAATATACACTTAAAATGTTAATTATTTCTAACGAATAACAAATAAATGGAAAAATGTATCAACATTTATAGAAGTCGTGTGATTTGATTAATTTGCATTTTTTTTTATTTAGTATATTCATTTTATTGGAATTTTTTTATGATCATAATTTCATAATTAATTATTTTAATATTGTGTAGTTTTTTTAATGTAATTTCATTACCATGTACAATATAACCTCCATAAATTAATACCTGATAAATTAATAACCTCGCTTAAATAATAAAGTTTCTCAGTCCCGATTCGGGGATAACGTGCTAAATTAATAATTCGCTAAATTTATAAGATAATACACATTCGAACATTTTAAGAACCCCCATATAATATATAAACTAACAATGCATAAAAATAATTCATAAATTACATGGTACAATACATATATTATAGATCTATGAAGGCTTAATACAATATAATTTAATTGTCGCTTGTTTCTTGTTGAAGTTCACATTACCATCAATCTCGTCTCTCGCTTTTCTTAACATGGTTAAAACTTTCGGTATAGTTTTCTCATAACTCAACTTAAAATCGTTCTGTTAGAATTATTTCGTGCAAATTAATTATAAATTTGTGTCCGATAAATCCCAGATTCAGTTTTAGCTACTGTTCTACTGTTTTACGAAGAGTTGCAACAGTTAATGGAACAGTAATAAAAAGACACAAATTTTAAAGTGGTTCGGATACAATTGTACCCTACATCCACGGGGACCTGCAAATGAAATTCACTAATTTTTAGTTTTACGAATACAGTAATAGGACTTAATCGAAAATGCAAAGACTCCCTCTTTGTCGACGCCGTTCTTGTATCCTACGCTGAATTGTGAATCTTCACTTTGCAGCACGTCCCTTTCCGCACTGTTGAAATTCCTTCAACGCTGAGTCCCTCAGTCGGCGGATCGACCTCCTCCCGAGATCTTCTGAGTTCTCCTCCCGAAGAACCGATTTTCTTTTCGGTGAAAGAAGCAAACTCCTTTTTCTGTATTTTCTTCTCGATTTAAGATCAGGAATTCTGGAGCAGCAACGTAAGAGCAGAAAATAGTTTTCTCTCAAAATAAAAGGGACAACGTATAAAAACGTTGATGCTGCCCTTCTTATACTTCCTTAGGTGAATTAGTAGAGCCCTACAAAATTAGAGCCCATTAGGTTAGATATAATCTTCACGTAAGGAAAAAAGAGTTATGTAAACAAGGAAAGTCTTAGACAAATAAATTCCTTGTTAATAAAACACTTAGGCAATTAAATAAATTAATGACAAAATAAGAGTTTAAAGAACTAAGGAAACTTCCCTAGTTTTTATACACGTTTTTCGCACACGTGTTGAAAAACCGAAATAGAATCCTCTCGGATTCTAACAATCTCCCCCTTTGTCATCTATTTATTATAATCAAGTCCTCCCCCTTGATCAAATACCTGACAAAACATTAGACTGCATAATAGAGTAACTGTTAGAACAGTTAAAGAAAACAGCAGTTAACAAAACAAGAAAAAAGTTAAGCCTAGCAGACTATTAGAGGCCGTTGTTCAGAAAATGAATTCGACAACCACAAAAAAAAACTAATCCAGAATATATTCAGCATCAACGAACAACTCCTCGTCATCATTCGTATCAACTTCAGCTGTTGTACCATCAACTGTTGGAACAGTTGGAGCAACAACAGTTGGATCAGTAGTAGTTCCAGCAGCTGCATCAGCTCCCCCTGTATGCGGTTCCTCCTGGGTTGATGCTTCGTTGTCAACTCCCCCTCAAGAATAATCTCCCCCTTTCTGAGCAAGGGCAGTAAAATAGTCGAGTTTCTTTTTCGTAAAAACGACTTCGACAATCAGAGACCCCACTAGGTAGGTTGGCATAAAAATCATGAACCACTTGACAGACGCCACCGGGTTTGATGCGCTCGGAGAAAGAACCGAGAATTAAAAGCATCGACAGCAGAGATCGGCACCACGGGATCCGGTGCAGAGTAACCTGCGGTGGTGCGAGTAGCGGAAGGCGAGGCAGAGTGAGTAACGCGTCGACGAGAGCGGCGAGGTGGCGGGTTGCAGGTGAGGCCGGTTTGGGTGGTGCGATGGCGGTGCACACGGTGATGGTGACGATTGGGCAGCCGGCGAGTGTGGCAGTGGAGGAGATGGTGGAGAATAGATGAACGGTGACGGCGGTGAGACTGGCGGCGACAGCGGTGGAGAAAACCTAGGGACCAAAATGAGTGGCAGATTGCCAAAATTCTCGACGAAGGCGGCCGTGAGGACCGTCGTTTGGACGACGAGGATGAACCACCGAATTTTTTTTTTTTATTTTTTTCTTTTGCCCATGACGATGTTGTTGATTCCCTTCGACTGTGTTGAATTTTTGGGGTTTTGCTGCAAAAGAAGAAGAAGAAGCAAACAGAGCAGTAGGGAAGAAGAAAAATTGGAGAGAAAAAAATTGAATACGGGATTCTCCAAGGATGACTGTTGCTCTGCTCAGGGGTAGTTTAGCAATTAGGAATAGTCAAGTGAGAGAATTGCAAATATAATAATTATGCTCACAATAAATTCCAGTAATGAAAATCAAATTCAGATACAGCAACTCTCAACTTTCGCATATGAAGCCCAACACAGTTCAAATAAACTTCGAGAAGAAAAAAATGCTCAGAACAGTGAGTTACTCCGAAGAAATATATTACCGCCAAAAATTACGAACCCACCCCGGAATTTTTTTTTTTTTTTTTTTTTTTTTTTTTTTTTAATAAATAAATGCCTAACATGCAGAGGCAAATAACTAAGACGAAAAATAAACGTGAGAAAAAAATGAGTGAATAAACACAAGTGAATAGGATACTATTAGGACTATCAAACCATGGGGTTTATCTTCAATTTTAACAAAAAGCAAGCTCCAAGAGATAGACTAAGGAGACTAACAGCAAATTTAGTATCCTCAAATCAAGCACAAAAACACTCTTATTAGGCAGCATACACACACTATCAAAGGTAGCTTATTCATGAAGAGCAGAGCAATTAAAATAGCGAGATAGTTATGATCGTGCAATGTGTAGTCCCCTGGGCTTTCTAATTGAGTCGTGTAGTGAGTGTTCAGTCATGTGGTTTACCGGCTCGACTCAAAAAGGCTTCGAACTATTCACTGACCGCATATAAAATTTATAATGGTCGTGCAATGTGTAGTCCCTTGGGCTTTCTAATTGAGCCTTGTAGCGAGCTTTCGGCCACGTGATTTACTGACTCAACTCAAAAAGGCTTCGAACTATTCACAGACCAATTGATTGACATTTTATATATAGAATTAACGAAAATTCAAGAGTAGCTTTCACTCATTTGGAGCGGCAGCTTTACCTTATGAGTGTGTTCAACCATGACAAGACTGTGAAGGGTAGTAAATAAGCTAAAACCTCTGTAGCTATCATTTGGGGATTGATGAAGTTCTACCTCACAAGATTCGAAAGTACAGATAGTATCCAATACACAAGGGGTCTCATCACATGCAATATGTCTAATGCATAACCTAGATGAACAAAATGCAGTATGCGTGATGTGTCCATAAAACTTTAAAAGTTGCAAGTCTGGACACAGACTGTTGCAACAGTTTATGCAACTGCACAGGTCAGACAATACAAATTCCAAGCGAATTTCGCAAGGAATCAAACCTTTGTGCATCTAGGGGTTTAGTAAAGATGTCAGCAAGTTGTTTCTCCGTTGTGACATACTCTAATGAGACAGTTCCTTCCTCTACAAGATTTCTAATGAAATGGTAGCGAATTTCAATATGCTTAGTTCGAGAGTGCTGTACTGGATTCTTGCAAATATTAATCGCACTCATATTGTCACAATAAATATGCAATAAATCTTGACTAATACCATAATCACATACCATTTGTTTCATCCATAAGAGTTGGGCACAACAACTACCAGCGGCGATATATTCCGATTCAGCAGTGGAAAGCGAGATACTATTCTGTTTTTTGCTGTACCAGGACACGAGATTGTTCCCAAGATAGAAACATCCTCCAGTTGTGCTTTTTCGATCGTCTGCATCACCTGCCCAATTAGCATCGCTAAAGCCTCGGGTTTGAATTCCTTATTCTACCGGGCCAATGACTTGATCCACTGGATGATTCTTTTTGACTCTTCTTGAGGGTTCCTTGTGAGTTTGATCATCCAATTCGAGAGGCCTGACTTCAGCTTCGTCTCCTGTTTCAGAATTGACGTCACTTTCTTCTGAATTGGTAGAGGCTGCATCAACTGTTGGAACTGTTGGTGCGACACTGGAGCTATTTTCCGATTCCTTTGTTGGTTCCTCTTCCAGTGGTCCTTTCCAAATTTCGTACGGAGTTTTAGTGGTACCTGGTCGAAGATAGACTCGATTTATAATATGACATGCAGTGTTAACTGCTTCTGCCCAAAAACGAAGAGCGATCTCCTTTGCGTTCATCATGACCCTGGCCATCTCTTGCAGAGTGCGATTTTTGCGTTCAACCACTCCATTTTGTTGAGGTGTTTTAGGTGCGGAGAATTCATGAGATATTCTTTTGTGCCAAAGCACTGTAGAGTCTGACAGACTGTTGAAACAGTTCATACCAGCAGAGACAAGAATATAGCAGTTGTCAGATGATCGAGTTCCTTGAATAACACAATTCTCGTCTTTGTCTAATACTCGACATGCGAATTTGTTGAATCTGACTTCAAGATCTTGATCACATAGCTGGCTGATGCTTATCAGATTTGACGTGAGTCCTTCTACAAGTAGTACATTCTTCAGCTTTGGCAGATTCTCATGATTTAGCGATCCTTTCCCTAGCACTTCACCCTTTTTTCCGTTTCCAAAGGTAACAGCTCCACCGGTGATTTGTTGATAGTTTTTCAGAAACTCTTTAACACCGGTCATATGTCGTGAACACCCACTGTCAAAATACCAATCATTAGTAGTACTTGCTTTTAAAGAAGTAATCGCAGATAAGCATTTAAACGTGGACTTTTCAACCCAAATTTTTTGCTGAGGTCTATTGGAAATATCAATTTTATTTTTGGGTTTTTGAGAGGGTGAAGGAAAATAATCAGCCCTAGCAGAGTAAAGAGAACGAGCCACAAGTTTTTTCACAAGTTTTAAATATTTGAAACATCTAGGACGTATGTGACCTGGATTTTGACAGAAAAAACAAGTGGGAATAAACCTTTTCTTTGAATTGTGTTTCGTTGCTTCAACAGTTGCAACTGTTTGTGAGACAGAAGCTTGTTTAACAAAGTTGATTTTTCTGTTTTGATCTTCCTTTCGCTTTAGATCAACTTTGGGTAGCTGACTCCCTCCTATGGCTAGACGATTATAGTTTGGCTTGTTGTTGCTTAAGATTTCATCTAGATTACCTCTACCCAAGTTCAATTTTGCAATTGCTTCTTGAGTTTGAGTAAGTTTAGCCTGCAAACTATTTTTCTCTTGATCACTAGATATGACCCTTTCCTCAAGAGTAGAGATTCTTACCTTTAGTGTCTTGTTTTCCTCTACAAGCACAAACTTCTCCTTTTCCAGGAAGTTATTTACCTTAACGACGTCGAGCCATTTTTGGTACATTTTTTCATATACCTCCTTTACTTCATCCAAGGTTGGTTCTTCCTCATCACTGCTGCTGTTCGGATCCTCTGCAAAAGAAGAATTTTCGTTTAGATTTTTTTCATAATCAGAACACATATTTTCATACCTGGATTCTGTTTCACAGTCTGTTGCAACAGTTGAAGCAACAGTTGATTCTGAGCTGTCCAGAGGAACTTTGCTGCTGAATGCTACAAAGTTAGTGACTTGATTGTTGTTTCCTTGGTCATCATCAGATTCTTCTTCATCGCTCCAACCAGTAGTAAGTGACATTTTCTTCTTTTTCTTCAGGGTGTTTGCGCATTCTGATTGAATGTGACCAAAGCCTTCGCATTCTCGACATTGTATTCTTCTTGGTTTTGACTCCTCTGAGTTATCTTGATTTGAATTTCTCCTAGAATTTTGAAAATTCACGGGTTTCCCTGTGCTTGGAAGATTTCCCCTTTTTTCGATCTTTTTGAGAAATTTCCCAAAATTTTTCGATAGTAGTGCCAAGGATTCTTCAACTGTTTCTCATCTTCTTGAGTTGACGAATTTTGGGGCGTTGCATATGATGTTTCTGCTTGAAAGGCTATCTTCTTTTCTCTAGACTTTTCACGATGATTTTCACCATGATTGAGTTCTTGTGCTAGAAGTTTCCCCATGAGTTCGTCTAGTTTGAGCGTGTCAACGTCTCTGACTTCTTCAATGGCAGCAATTCGGTAAGCGAATCTTTCAGGTAATGAGCGCATAGCTTTTCTCACTAATTTGCTTTCTGAGTATGGTTCACCGAGTGCGTATGATTCATTTGAGATATCACATAATTTAGCATGGAAGTCAGTGATCGTCTCATTCTCCTCCATCTTCAAATTTTCGAATTTGGTGGCCAACATCTGTAACTTGGATGTCCTTACAGTTGACGTTCCTTCGTATGTGACTTGAAGAATTTCCCAAGCTCTCTTTGCAGATTCACATGACGCTATTAGTTTAAATTGATTATCATCAACACCACTAAATATTGCGTTTAGGGCCCTCGAGTTGTAGTTTGCGAGTAGTATTTCTCCATCACTCCAATCTGCTTCTGGTTTGAATACTTCCGCTTTGTCTTCTCCTTTGATCATGGGAGGTGTCCAACCAGTTATGATGGCGCGCCATGCTCTCTCATCTATGGATTTGATAAACATCTTCATTTTTGATTTCCAGTATGAGTAGTTGGGGCCGATTAGAAGAGGTGGGCGAGTAGTTGAAGATCCTTCTCGTTGAGTATTCATATCTGCACAAAATAAGAGTAATCAGTTCCCAAAATCTCACTAGATATATTTAGTGACAGGCTCTTGATGCCAAATGTTAGAATTATTTTGTGCAAATTAATTATAAATTTGTGTCCGATAAATTTCAGATTCAGTTTTAGCTACTGTTCTACTGTTTTACGAAGAGTTGCAACAGTTAATGGAACAGTAATAAAAAGACACAAATTTTAAAGTGGTTCGGATACAATTGTACCCTACATCCACGGGGACCTGCAAATGAAATTCACTAATTTTTAGTTTTACGAATACAGTAATAGGACTTAATCGAAAATGCAAAGACTCCCTCTTTGTCGACGCCGTTCTTGTATCCTACGCTGAATTGTGAATCTTCACTTTGCAGCACGTCCCTTTCCGCACGGTTGAAATTCCTTCAACGCTGAGTCCCTCAGTCGGCGGATCGACCTCCTCCCGAGATCTTCTGAGTTCTCCTCCCGAAGAACCGATCTTCTTTTCGCCTGAAAGAAGCAAATCTTTTGCTGTGTTTTTCTTCTCGAATAAGATCACAACTCAGGAGCAGCAACGTAAGAGCAGAAAAAGTTTTTCTCTCAAATAAAAGGGACAACGTATAAAAACGTTGATGCTGCCCTTCTTATACTTCCTTAGGTGAATTAGTAGAGCCCTACAAAAATTAGATCCCATTAGGTTAGAAATACTCTTCACGTAAGGAACAAGGAGTTATGTAAAACAAGGAAAGTCTTAGTCAATTAAATTCCTTGTTAATAAAACACTTAGGCAATTAAATAAATTAATGACAAAATAAGAGTTTAAAGAACTAAGGAAACTTCCCTAGTTTTTATACACGTTTTTCGCACACGTGTTGAAAAACCGAAATAGAATCCTCTCGGATTCTAACAAGTATTATTCTGAATTTGAAAATGTTGTACTTACTTACAATTCATACATAATGTACCTGTTGTAGACAGTTATACAGAACCATTCAAAAGAAAATTACATGAGTTACACAAAAGTAACTATCACTTACAGTAACATAGAACTACTGAAGAAAATTACTGAAACAAATATAACTGTCACTTGCAGTAATAGACGGCTATC